GTTCAGGGTTCAGGGCTTAAGGTTTAAGGCTTAGGGTTTAGGATGTAGGGTTGAGGGTTCAGGGCTTTCTGTTAAGGGTTAAGGACTTATTGTTCAGGGTAGGGCCTCTTTGCAAGCTGCGTAGAATCTTTTCAGGGCTTAGGGCCTTAAAATGTATGGGGCGTTATAGGGTTTTAGGGCTTAGGGTTTTTAGTTTAGGGTTTAGGGTTTAGGGTGTTGCTGGAACTCTGCCGCTTTGGGGTGGTGGGGCTGTCGGGTCTATACTAATCTACGGCTTCTTCGGTGCTAGCGGTGCTCAAGCTCCCCTACGTACACATCTACACGTGGTTCAGGGTGGAAGGGCAGAGGGGATGAGGTCATAAGCTGTCTTTACAACTCCATGCAGGGTCTATGCGGCTTCTCGTCTCGAGCTTGGATCAGGGTTTGGGGTCTGAGTTTCTGTGAAGCTGTTTGTTTTTTTTTTCGGGGCTTGGGTTTGTTATTTTTTTGTAAATGGATGACTTCATTGTCGTGGGTTTGGTTTTTACAACTCGATGCTTCGGGCTTGTAGGCTCATCATTGTGGGATTTCGCATGAAACCCTAAACCCTAAACCCTAAACCCTAAACCCTACGTCTCAAGCTTGGTTTGGGGGCTTTCGGTCAAGCTGTCGGCTCCTTGGGGCTTTGAGAAGCTCTAGACAAAAATCATTTAGGGTAGGGTTTAGGGTTTAGGGGTTAAGGGTTTAGGGCTTAGGGTTTAGAGTCTCAGGCGCAGTGTAGCGAGTTTGGAAGGACTTGGTGAATATCCAAGCGTAGCCCTAAACCCTAAACCCCAAAACCCCAAAACCCAAACTCGGAGGGCTATAGAAAGCAGACGCGCAGACCCCAAATCCTCATCCTGAAGTCTCGAATCAACGGGGGGGCTTGGGATTTAGGTTTAGGGTTTAGGGTTTAGGGTTTAGGGTTTATAGGGTTTAGGGTTTAGGGTTTAGGGTTTAGGTTTAGGGTTCCCAGCAAGGCCGCAACACCAACATGTGGAATTGCATAGTATAAGCCCGGGGTCTTAATCAATAGAACAGGGTTTCGGGGTATAATATATGCTATGATTATAATAAGGATCCCCTGCCCCCAAAAAACAATAGTATTGGTTATTTTCAGTCCCCTGTATTACACGTGTCCGTGCAAGAATGATGCGCACCCAAGCGAACCTGAGCCCTAAAGCGGCCTTAGTAATTGGAATAGGGTTTTGGGGTTTATTGTACCAAAAAAGGTAATAAGGAAACCCCCAAATAGTGTAGGTAATTCTTCAGGCCCCTACATTAGGTTTCAAGGCCCTTTTCAGTTCCCTGATGAGGGTTGCCCTACTTGTAACATGACATACTAAGCCCACCGATGTATGTCGGTAGTTTTCTGATTCTTCCCTAAACCCTAAGCCCTAAACTCAAGCATTTCACCAAGGCGCCCGAGCATGGGAAGCAAGACCATTTCCTGACTAGACATTGATTAAAGCGGCCAAGTTTAAACGATGTGGATGCATAAACCCCTAGGGAAACTGGCTGAACCGTGGCGCTCCAAAATAGCCCAAGCAGGTATGGCTTTTACCCTGAATCATATAACCTAGACGAGTTTTCTCAATATAGATCGCGTATCTTGGGTATGTAGATTTCAGAGTCACATTCCTGCATAGGGTTAGGAGGCATGTTGGTTTCGGAATTGGGCTCTCTAGGGCAGGAGCCTCGGTTTTCATACCGAAACCTAAAAATATGGGGGCCTTGATAATTAGAACAGGTCTTGGGGTATATTACACTTACAGAGAATATTATAGGTAATTATCTAGGCCCCTAAATTAGGGTCGGGGGGGTTGGTATCTTGTCCGGGCTTCAGTCGCGTGGGGGAGAGAGGCAAGCCATTTAGCGCACAGAATTAGAACCCTGCTGGTCCAGCGAATATAGTATCGGTTACACGTTCAAAAAAACAGACTTTAGGGGCCCAAATATCCACGAAGCACCCGAAACCTAAACCCCTAAACCCTAAACCCTAAACCACTAAACCACTAAACCCTAATCCTTAAACCCTAATCCCTAATCCCTAAACCCTTGGTACTATGACCGACTAGAGAAGCGAGCCTTACAGGCAAAGCGGTTGCCGCCTTCTCCCCAACCCCCTGGGTTTAGGGTTTAGGGTTGGTTTAGGGTTGGTTTAGGGTTTAGGGGTTTAGGGTTTAGGGTTGGTTTAGGGTTTAGGTAGGGGTTTAGGGCCTAATCTTGCACCCAGTTTCTCCAGTCTCCCAAGGGATTTGAAGGTTACCCTTTCGGAATCGGTTCGCGTTACATGAGCCCACAAAAACAAAGGTCAGCTGCTCGACCACTGAATTTTAAACCCTACAGAATTCTAGCGAGACATAAACCATGGGAAATCCTGGAAGCCTTAATAGTTACCTGTTGTTTATTTTTAACCAGTGTAATATAATACCGCAAAACCCTATTCCAATTAATAAGGCCCCTGAAACATCAACCCTCACAAAAATATGCAAACAGCACTAGAAATATTAAGGCGGTTTAGGGTTTAGGGAGTTTATGGGTTTAGGGTTCAGGGTTTAGGGTTTCTAAACCAAAAACCCAAAATATGCAAACCCCACAACTATCTTAACCTTCGGGGTGCCCTTTCTTAGTGTCCTTGCAGTAAGGATCTTCTTGCTCGGCTTAGGGCAAAGAGCAGGAACATTTTTCAAGCTGCCCTGCCGCCATGCGTAGTCGAGCGGCCTAGAGCCACGTCGCGCGGCCAGCGGAATCGATAGCATAGAGTCTGGATAGAAGAACGGCTAGCGGCGCAGGCAGCTGCAGCGAAAGCCCCCCGGCAGGTTTTGGCTCCTCGGCACGTCCAGCGGCGGCGGCGCCGCCGCCGCGGCAGTCGGTGCCGACGAATGGAACGCTGGCATCCCTGACTTCCGATGCGGAAGGCTTGCTGGGTCGATGCAACGGATTCGGGCTGCGAACACCACAGCTACATGGGTGGTTGTCAAAATTAGGGTCCCTTTTGGTGTACCCTAAATAATAGGTGCCGTATTATAATAAGGACCAAAAAAAGGACCATAATTTTGACAACCACCCACATCCTGGTCATCCTCACCGCACAAGCAAGGTTGCTTTGTTACTCACGAGAAGCCCATGCGCTCGATCCTAAAGGGCAACAGCCGGGATCGCCGCCCGGTTTCGAGTTTAGGACTTTGGGGTTTAGGGTTTAGGGGTTTAAGGCTTCGGGTTTAGGATTTAGGGGTTTAGGGTTTTGGGGTTTATAGGGCTTCGGGTTTAGGATTTAGGGTTTAGGGTCTAGGGGTTTAGGATTTACCCCAAACCCTTTATAAACCCTAACACCCTAAACCCTAACACCCTAAACCCTAAACCGTGGGACCCTAACCCCCCAACCTGAAATCCGACAATCACGATCGAGCCGGTCCTTGTCACAGTAGTCCTGATGCTCATGGTTCCTCCTGCAGCAGGACCTGGGTGAGGGTTTAGTTTAGGGTTTTGGGTTTAGGGTTAGGGTTAGGGTTAGGGTTCAGGGTTTAGGGTTTAGGGTTTAGGGTTTACCCATAGGCCCCATAGTAGGGTTTTTTGTGGCTTATATTTAGGATCCTATTCGGTAATCCCAAAAAGGAACTACTACGAGGCCTATGCGTAGTTTACGGTGTAGGGTTTAGGGTTTGCAGGACCTGAGTTCGGCGTGTCCCCAACCCTTCAAAAGATCTCAAAACAGAACTTCCTGCCTTCGAAAACTTAGAACCATCAAGCAAACTCTGCTGCCAGTACGGATTCTTCAAGGGCTTTGTCTGTTAGAACCTGTTTTCAACTGTTGACATACTCTTGGGGCCGGAACAATTAGAATGGGGTTTTGGGGCACAATATACAATAATTATAATAAGGAACTCCAAAATAGTAGTGGTCATGGAGTAGGCCCCTTCATTATGAGATCGGGAACCACAGCTGCAATGAAAGAGACTGACAGGTCTCGCGCAGTGACTCGGGTTCAGGGTTGAGGGCTTGAGCCCTAACCCGAAACCCTGGACCCTAAACCGTTTAGGGCTCAGGGTTCAGGGTTCAAGTTCTACATGAGGCTTGGGGGAAAGAACTTGGCGGGAAACGCTAGACTCTAAACCCCCCTAAGCCGAATACTTGTATCCGAAAAGCCTAAAACCCTACACCCCAAGCCCTGAACCCCAGAGATTAAGGTGCTTGGCAGCTAATGCACTGGGGATTAAGGTTTGGGAGCTGGCTCGGGAAATAGTAAGGGTAGTTAGTCGCAGATATTTGCAACTCAGTGCTCCCGGACCACCCTACACCCTAAACCCTAAAACCCTAAAACCCTAAACCCTAAACCCTTAACCCCTAAACCCCTGAACCCTAAACAAGCCAACACTCGTGCTTTTACTGCAGCTGAAAGCCCAGACCTGAGTGGTTTAGGGTTAGGGTTTAGGGTTTAGGGTTTAGGGTTTAGGGTTTAGGGTTTAGGGTTTAGGGTTTTGGTTTTGATTTAGGGCTTCTGGGGTTTAGGTGCCCTTATAGGATCCTTTAGAGGTGCCTTTATATTGGGTTTAGGGTTTAGGGGTTAGGAGTCTAGGGTTTAGGATTTAGGGCTTCTGGGGCTTAGGGTCGTGTTGAAGGGTCCCGGTTTAAGGTTTTCGGGCACTAGGCCCATGGTTGCTGGGGTGGCGGATTGCCTGCTACCCGCCGAATTTGGCTTCGATCCTCTTAAGGCCTTACGGACCCTTCAGTGTTTATTGTCGAGGATCTAGTGGAAGCATCAGAGGATGCAGTCCGTCGGGAGTCGGTAGAGTTTGGAAGTGGAATGAATAGCCCCTAAACCCTAAACCCTAAACCCTAAACCCTAAACCCTAAACCGTCTAATTACTGCCAGCTCAGGTTCCCTTTGTGGTTCCCGTGTAAACCGCTTTTTGAGAAAGGTTTAGGGTTTAGGGTTTAGGGTTTAGGGTTTAGGGTTTAGGGTACGGGATGCCCTTTGACAGAGCCCTTATGGTCCTGAATGATGGTGACTTAGGGTAGTTGGGGGTGTAGGTAAGCCCTCGAATCCTAAACCCTACAACTCTCAACCCTGAATCCTCGAAACTGGCTAGTTTCTCAGCTCCAAATCCTGACCCAACACCAAAACGGACCCCCCCCCCTCCCCGGTGCCTTTTTCATGGATCCCTTATGGTAGAACCCTAAACTCTGAGCCCTTATGGTGCAACTCGAGAATATGCATCCCCGAAACTAGCTCCCTACATACGGCTGATGGACAAAATTCTGCATGACCCAAATATAGTATAGTACCATAAACCCCATAGTTTAGGTATATAAGGTCATGCAGGATTTGGTCCATCCCTAAACCCTAAACCCTAAACCCTTGGTCCATCAACCGTAACACGAGAGGTAACCAAGCTGCATGTTTGCCTGGAACACCTCCAGACTCCTGCGGCGCAGGGACATCAGGGTTTCTTCCGTTTAGGGTTTAGGGTTTAGGGTTTAGGGTTCCAGACCCCCAACAGGATCTAAAAAATAGATCCCCAATATAATTAGGGACCCTAGCTACTAAAGGGTACTTTATAGGAACCCCCTTAAAGGATCTATGTCTTAGATCCTTTTGGGGGGTCCGGGTGTGGCCGCCGTCGAGCATGTTACGTCTTTGAGGTTGAAAGGGTTTAGTATACGAGCCTTAACGGTTTAGGGTTTAGGGTTTAGGGTTTAGGGTTAAGACTTAGAATCAGGTGTCGGGGTGTATTATACTACTTATATGATTAGGAGCCCCCCACACTAGTATGGGTAATTATTTCGGCCCCTATATTAGCATTTAGGGTTTAGGGATTTAGGGTCTTGGGGTTTAGGGTTTAGGGGTCTACGGGTTTAGGGTCAAGGATCCTACTACCTAGGGTCTTTCTTGGCTTGCCCTGTGTTTGCCTGTCCCATGGATACTTGGCTGACTTCTGAACCCCTCCCAAAACTTAAACTTTTAGCCTACTTATTATAGTTCATATAGAAACCCAAAAAATTAAAGTCCTAAGAGCCAACCAGAAGAACGCCATGGATATGTAAGGTGAAGCTTGGGGCAGAAGCTGAAAGCTTACAGGGTTCACCCAACCTCTCACTTCCCCAATAAGCCAGGAACAAATGTCAAACTTTCAGGCTACCACTAAAGTCACTAAAGCATAAGAACCCAAAAAGTTTAAAGGTTGGGTTTTGGAGAACTAAGACCTTTAGTCTCCACTAGAGTCAGAGGGTCAGGGTTTAGGGTATAAGTTTAGGGCTTAGGGTTTAGGGTATAAGTTTCAGGCTTAGGGTTTAGGGTTTAGGGTATAAGTTTCGGGCTTAGGGTTTAGGGTATAAGTTCAGGGCTTAGGGTTCAGTTTAGTCTCCACTGCGGTTCCCGTTTATGGTGCACCTTGGTCTCTGCACCGCAAATATCGCCACACGATCGAACCCCACAAGAGACAAGGCTCCTGGACAGAAAGTCCATATCCACGGGCGCCAAGCCGTCCTTGCCCTTGGAGAGGAACATCTTCTTGGTTCCATTCCTGGTTGGGGAAAGGGCTTGCAGAGGGTTTAGAGGGATAGGGCTTAGGGGCTGTATAGGGGCGTAACGAGGATCTGTATTGGGTCTTGTAAGGCTTAAACCCTAAACCCTAAACCCTAAACCCCCTAAACCCTAAACCCTGAACCCTAAACCTAAACCCTAAACTTCTTAACAAGTTCTTGGTTGCATTCCTTTTCTCATGGTGAGGGACTGGTGGGGTTTATAGAGACAGGGGCTTGATTCGGGTTTATATGGGAGTTTCCGAACATTGGGGGCACCTTATTTTGGGGTCCTTATAATAGGGATCCTACTATTTAGCTTGATTCTGAAGCACCGTGGCTGAAAGCTTAAAGCTCTGGAAGTGGCCCCAGTCATTGCTTTTGCTTTGTTTCTCTGTGTCTGTGGGTTTGAGGGTTTATGAGGCTTAGGGGTTTAAATCTCACTGCTTGGCTGCATTCTGAACCCCTCCAAAAATTTAAACTTTTAGTCTCCTTATTATGGCTCATATAGAAACCCAAAAAGTTAAAGTCCTAAGGGCCAACCAGAAGAACGCCAAGACTGGGGGTTACGTTTCAGAGGACTCTGCCGCGAGTGCTTTCCTCATGTTTCTCCAAGGTATCCTCGTGACCTTGGCTGGCCTCCTGAGTCTTGAAATCTGACTTTAGGGTTTAGGGTTTAGGGTTTTAGGGCTTTAGGGCTTTAGGGTTTTAGGGTTCAGGGTTTAGGGCTTTAGGGTTTCTTGCCGAGCACGTTAGAACCTCCAGGTGAGAGAAATAACCTGCTGCTCTAGGACATGCTTTTGTCAACCAAAAGCTACTACAGAATACTTGCTCGAACCAGCAGCATCGGCCCCATACCGTTTTGGGTTTAGGGTACCACGGTTTTCCTGAGCAATTCCAGCGCTGGTTTTGGTAATCTCGTTTGGTGGTGGGAGGTGGCCGGGGGTTGCACGTTGTCTTGAGTTTATGGCTGCAGCACGAGGGCTCCCCAATTGAACCACAGTTCTGCTATTCTGCAAAATGCAAGCTCCGAATTTGATAGATGTAACGGTCTGCATGCCCCTAAAGCCTAAACCCTAAACGGGTTCAGGAGTGGCGGGAAGTGGTCGGCGATGAGGTTAACTTCAGCATGCAGCCTCGTTTGGGGGTCCAGGAAGACATCCAGCATTCTGATCAATATCCCCAACCTTAAACTACCAAAACCTACTTTTTTGAAGGGTCTTTATAAATTCCATATTATGGTTTGTAATGAGAACCTACAAAAAAGTAGGTTTGGCAGTTTAAGGAACCAGTTAGTAAGTGTTGTAGCAGGGTTCTATACTGAGAGGTTCTGCGTTCAGCTCAGTCTCGCTGAAACCATGGCCACTTGCTCCACCCGTGTCCACACTCGGTCCTTGCAGAACCGCACAGAAGTTCGCTGCGATCTAGGATAGCCTAGATAACCTGTAGCCATAAAGAGGTTTTATGCTTCGCTCTTGCCCGGGGCCGCCATAATACTATACTAAAACTATAATAAGGAACCCCCGAAATAGTATTGGCAATTATTTAGGCCCCCATATTATCTAGACTCGACGCCCGAACCTTCATGCGCTCTGCTTTGTGGTTCGTACTTGGCATTTTTTGTCAAGCTGTGGCCTCACTTTCCAGTGCCCATCGGTTCCTAAAGCATACATCATTGGCATCTTCCGTGAAGAGTGATGCTATGGGATTCCCGGCAGAGCCCCTGGCATTGTGGAGTAGACAGTGACGAAGCACAGTCTGAGGGCTTTAGGCTTGAAGGTGCATGCACATAAAATACCAGCCAGGAAGAAAGACATTCGGGCAGAGGTCTGCGCATGCATGCTACTGACCAGTTGTGCTTTGTACGTAGAGGCACCTCTGTCGAATGTCTACTGTAACCTGTACGTCGAAAACCATGTGAACAGATACATCGAAGTCCACTTCAGTTGTACCGGCGAGGATCTGGTGGAAGCGGATATTGCCCCGAAAAAAGTTCCTTCGGGTTCTGTACTATGTTTAAAGCAAATATACCCCGAGGCCCTATTCTACTCATCAAGGCTCTTATACTAAACCCTTATAGTAACCCTTGTTCGTACCCCTGATTGAAAGTATTAAGTATAAAAATCTTTAAAAGAACCCTATTCCACTTATCAAACACAGAATTTCGGGTTGATGCTGAATGAATGCTCTGCAGCAAAAAACACAGTCCCGACAAGGGCTGCGAAGGAGCAACGTGCTCGGTTAAAGCAGGTCGGTCCGGGGTTAAGACAATGGATACTTTTTTTTTGTAGTAACCCTTATAGAACCGTTATAGAGCCATTCTGGAGCTCTTTAACAGAACCCTGAATACTTAAAGGCAAGACAAGAAGGGTTTTGCCCTTTGAGGCCTCTGAAACCTGTTCGTAATGAGATCCTCTTCAATCATATCAGTGAGAATATAAAATATCCCAAGAACCTACCTCGGGTTTAAGGAATTAGAGCTTTAAACCCTAAGCCCTAAGCCACTAAGAACAAGAATACGGATTCCATCGGGGTTTGCATAGCTCATCGGTCCTTGTAGGAATCGATGCCCGAATGATTTCCCGTGTTCTCGTGCATGCATTCCTGGAACGAGGTCTGAAGATAGAGGCCTTTGGGGGTCAACTCGGGTCGAGGGGTTTTAGGGGTTTAAAGGGTTTAGGGGTTAGGGAGGCTTTCTGTCAAGATCCAATGAAGCTACCCATACGGGTCTAACATCCGTAATGACCAGGCATTGATGCTGAGGATGGTGGCATTCAATCTTTGCAGTGCGGTGGTAACGTATTTATAACTGGCCTTTGAAGTAACCAAGGAGAAAAAAGTATAGATTTTTATTTTACAATGGTTCCTTTAAGGAACAGGTCCCCCAAAAAGTAGTAAAGTATGGTACTCCAAAACCCAGTACAAGGTGCTTGGACCAGGGCTACTTGCAACTCCAACTGATGCTCCACACGAACAGTCGTCTGTTTGCATTGAGGCTTGACGGGCATGGCAAGTAATGTCCGATCGTGCCGTTTTGGTGTATGGAATCAAGGGGGTGTAGCCCGATCCGAGACTTCCCACCCCAACTCCGAACTAAGCAGACTTTGGAGGTATAATTTATGGAACAGCCAAGATCTTCATTGTAAGGGACTTATTGCCGATTTGTAAGTCTTCAGCAAACCTGTACATTACTGGCTCGAGAGTCTGGGGCGACGATGATGAAGGCACTGGTGGAGGCGGCATAGACGTAAAGGGAGTTCACGGCCAAGGTCTTCATGCCAACGTGACACCTCGCCATGATTGTCGAAAAAACAATGTGGGTAGTTCTCTAAATTAGGGTCCCTTTTGGGGTCCTTTTTACAAGGCTGACGTACTATATTGGGGACCTGAAAAGGGACCCTAATTTAGAGAACTACCCATGTTGCAAATGTAAAAAAAACATCGGTCCTAAAGTGAGCTTGCTTCCTTCTTTCGGGCCCCTGTCATAAACCCCCAGCCCCTAAACCCCCAAACCCCTAAACCCCAAACCCTAAACCTTAAACCCCCAACCCCTAAACCCCCAAACCCCTAAACCCTAAACCCCAACCCCTAAACCCCAAACCCCGAACCCCACACTGCCCGGAACGCCCGGCCCTAATCCCAATCTCCCCTAAATTCTAAACCTTTACGGACGGGCTTAGGGCTTAGGGTTTAGGGTACGGACGACTTTCTCCCGCCTCCAGTAGAGATACGAGTAGGGAAGCCTGAATTGCCGTTGTACTTCTAGCCTCGTGCCGAGTTTCCAAGATCTTTACGTAGACCTGTAGCGCTTGATGCCTAAAGCCCAAAACCCTCGAAGTTACAGGCTGCGAGGCCTAAAACTCCAAACCCAAAATGCCAACAGCACCGCTGTAAGGATCTCGCGACTTTGCTGGAAGCAGAGTTTTTTAGTTCGCAAACAAACTCGCACGTGGTATCCTACTCATAAATCTAGTGTTTAACGTCCTGGCAAGGTCCCTTACTCCTTCAAGCAAGCACCTGCACTTCAACCTGTACTCATAGCCCCCGACCCTACGCCGCGACATGTGGTCATGACTGGTTTAGGGTTCAGAGTTTAGGGCTACGACACCTAAAGTATCTAGTTCTCAAGTAGCCCCTGGAACGAGCAAAAGGAATCAATTCTTCCACTTGTGGTTTGAATCAGTTTAAGCGAGAAACGCAAAAAACACCCATCATACTGCTGGGCAGCCTAGTTGCTCGTATGGTGTATCGCTTGTTGTACAACCCTTCAAGTGTGACCCTAAACCCTCAACCCAAATGAGGTGAGCTCCTCTGAGCCTCTTCATGATTGGAATAGGGTTGTGGGCTCCTGTATCACCCTAAGGAATAATGTTGGTAATATTTAGACCTCTATTTTATAACCCCCGTGGTAGCTCCATGTTTGATGGCCACCCTGATTTCTATTGTAGGATCCTGCACATACAGCTGATTAACCAACACGTGGGAGCCACAACGGAGACCAGGAGGGGATCCCCTGAAAGAAATCAAAAATGGTGAGGCACTGCGGGATAGCAAGGATGTCCAACCAAACGTTCAAGTTCTCAAGGGGCACGTTGTGCTCCTGTTCCGAACCGGGCGATTCTTCCTTTTAGGGCTTGGTGTGGGGTTTAGGCTAAACCCTAAACCCTAAACCCTAAACCGTCGGTTTAGGGTTTGGAGCTTAGGGCTGAGGGTTTAAAGCTTAGGGGTTCTGGTCCTGTTCGGTAATTCGGCACAGCTTGGTGTGGTGCTTCAGGCCCTAAACCCTAAACCCCTAAACCCTGAACCCTGGGGAGGATGCAAGTATCTGGTCTAGGCCTCGAAAACTGAAACATCACCCAAACAGTAAGCCCGCAAAACCCATCAACTAATACTGGGTTCTTGTTAAGGAATTTAATTTAAGTTACTACAAGAAGGAAGCCATACTATTCACGATAAATCCCTATTATGGTAACTTAAACTAAACTCCTTAACAAGAACCCAGAATCGCATTCAACAATTCAAGGTTCCGAAGTTGCAGGAACATTCTGTAAGCTCGGAGCAGGGAATCATTGAAGTTGGATGAAGCATGTATCTACCCAATCATTGACGGGGCTTACTAAGTCAGTTGGGCAGTCCGACTCAGGGTGCTTATAACTATCCAATAACTCTACCTTCTGGTCTCCTTACCCAATTCCCTGATCCTAGTTGGGGTTGAGGCTCGGGGTTAGTCCCGAAACCCTAAACCCTAAACCCTAAACCCTAAACCCTAATTGCCATTTAGGGCTTGCGGTTTACATAGAGGCCGAAGCCTCAGGGCCTGAAGCACGGACCCTTTGGTAGGAAGCATTGCTTACAGTTTCCAGGTTTAGGGTTTAGGGTTTAGGGTTTCGGGTTTGGGGTGCGGGGTTTAGGGTTTCGGGTTTAGGGTTTCGGGCTTAGGTTACCTTACTTTGAGAATCACCATAGAACTGGTGAAACACAGAGGAATGGAGACTGAAGGTAAACCCTACGACCACAGAACTTGTTGCCAGTCCTGTGAATACATCGAAAGGCTCAAGCGCATCCATTCGAGCTGGACATCGTTGGGGCCCAACTTGGTCCACGACTGCCACTCCTCAGCTGGTTCCCTTACGATCTTACCCGACCCTTGCTGAACTGGGTTCTTATTACCAAGAGGGTCCATATACACTACTATTATGGAATTAGGTCCCCAAAACCATAATAGGGATGGTCTTTTTAAGGCCTAATTCCATAATGGTAGTATATATGGACCCTCTGGGTTAGGTGTCGTCATACTCCATGACATCACGTCGAAGCCGGGTCAGCTTGCCACGGTATTAAGGTGGCAGCTCTGAGACAGTTTTAGGGTTTAGGGTTTAGGTTTAGGGTTTTAGCCGCGGACCTAGCAAAGGCGTGGTGAGTAGTGGGTCCTGCGATGTCCTGCGAAAAGACACACCAACGCATGCTTTTCTTCTGGCCCATGGCGCTTGAAACCTAAATCCTAAACACACCCTAAACCCTAAACCCTAAACACATACCCCACCTTTATCATCCTAAACAACCCGAAGCCCACGACCGCCTTTCATAAAGCGAAGGATGATCAACACTTGGGAAGTTTCAACTTCAACCCGGTTTAGGGTTGCTACAAGGCATCCTATAATGGTTGCTATAAGGGGGTTCCTATGAGCTACTGTAAGGATAGAAGGGTTTCTAAAAAGGGCTTGTTTAGGGGTTAGGGTTTAGGGTTTAGGGTTTACCCTAACCCTCCAGGTGCCTACCATATAGGGCCCTAGGGGCTCTAGTACCCTCTATAGTAAATACCTGGAGGTTTAGGGTTTGGGGTTTAAACGGAAAACCCCAAGTTCCAAACTCCTGGAACATTCCCCTGGTTTGGGGGTGTAGGGTTTAGGGGCGTAGGGTTACGCCACGTCAACCTAAATATAGGAGCGCAGGAAATACTACGAGAAGTCTCTGCCTGCAAATACTTCCAGTTTCCAATTAAGGTACTGCAACATGTGGGACTTTCCGAAATTTAGGGGGTACCTTATGTTGGGGTCCTTATGATATGGAGCCTATTATTTAGGGTACTATATTAGGGTCCCCTTTTTTGGACACCCCTATGTTGTTGTAGCTAGCAGTGGTAGGCCCCTGAGCACTAAAGACACGAAACCACTACCTCCAAGTCTGACATCGGTAAAAGGCGGCCCGGGCGCGTAGGAGAAGAAGACGATCTGGCCACCCGACTTTTTGAACTTAGCCAAAAGCCTCATTGTGGCTGCATGGCGTATGGTTCGAGATTGCTTCTGAGTCGGCAGCGTTTGGGATCTGTTCTGTACCTGTGGACTGTGTGCTCCTGCAATGCCCAGAGACTCCAAAGGCCCTTACGAATTAAGGAATATACCTGAAATCATATTAAGATTTCTGTAAAGACTCCAAAACTTCTATACCTTCTATTGTCATCGGAACACCGATATGACTTAAAGTATATTCCAACCCTAAACCCTAAACCCTAAACCCTAAACCCTAAACCCTAAACCCTAAACCATATTCCTTAATTCAGGGGTTTGGGAGTCTCTGGTGCGTGACTCAGAGTGGGGGCTGAGGCCGTCCACTCTTCAACCCTATCTATGCGGTTTCAGGTTGAGGGTTAAGGGTTAAGGGTTTAGGGTTTAGGGTTTAGGGTTTAGGGTTTAGGGTTGAGGGTTTAGGGTTTTTGGGTCTCTGCTACCCAATCCGCTACTTGGGTAGTTCTCTAAACTAGAGTCCCTTTTTAGGTCCCCAAAATAGATTTTAAAATGGAACCTAATTTAGAGAACTACCCTCTTGACAACTCCTCGTTAACCTGCAGAAGGGCCGTTCAGACGATCGAAGGCTTCAAATGATGGCCGGAGGCCCTAAGCCAACCCTAAACTTATCTGGATCTTGCGGCAAGCCGACACGCACGGTCCGGCCCCTAAACCCTCAACCCTGAACCCCTAAACCCTAAACCCTAAACCCCTAAACCCCAAACCCTAAACCCTGAACCCTAAACCCCTAAACCCTCTAAGTGCCGGGGGACTCCTCAGTGTCCAGGAACTTCAGCATTCCTCCCAGGCTTCTGGTTAAAGGAAACTACAGTAGGGTATATAGGGGTCCTTAAAGGGTCCCTTAAAAAGGGCCTCTTAAAAGGATCTATAGGGCTTAGGAATTTAGGGCTTTGGGTTTAGGTTAAAGCAAACTACAGGTGGGGACGTTTGGGGTATTAAGGGCTTCTATAAGGCTCCTAGAAGGTATAGCCCCAAGGGTCCAAAGGACCCAATAATTAGGTACTTGGGTTACGGATGGTAGCTATGTAGGTTACTATTTGGGAGAGTATATGATTATTAGGCGCTTGGACCCTTAGGGATAGGGCTTCTATAAGGCTCCCCTGAGGTATATAGACCTTCTATAAGGCTCTTATAACGGTAACTACCCACCTGAAAATGTCCCAGGCTTTTGGTGGCGTCATCTACGGAGAGCATTGGGTTCCTTTTAGGGTTTAGGGTGTAGGGGGGTTTAGGGTTTAGGGTTCAGGGTTTAGGGGTTTAGGGTTAAGGGTTTAGGGTCTGTGCGGGTTGCTAAGGGTACTATAAGGGTGAGGGTTTAGGGTTGAATATAGAGGCCTTGCCATCGCCGATACGTATAAGAAGGAGCGCTAAGAAACAACATTATTATGCTGCAGATTGTTGTAGTATACCTGAAGCCAAGAACCGTACGAAACAACGGTGAATCAGTTTTCCGCCCCCGAAACCCTAAACCCTAAGTCCTAAATCCCTATAATGATTTGAACATGCTTCTGCGCTTGACACCTAAACCCATGAGCAAACGGGGCGCTCCGGTCCATCGGTCAGAGGAAAAGGAAGTAGTCACATGGAACCATTCATGGATGTATAGTATAGTAAACTTGGCTGACTTCTGAACCCCTCCTAAAAGTTAAGCTTTTAGCCTACCTATTATAGTTCCTATAGAAACCCAAAAAGTTAAAGTCCTAAGAGCCAACCAGGAGAACGAAAAGTGAAAGTAGAGGTAACAGGAAGTTTCACTGGACCCCTTCCTGGATTGACAAGGGCCCACCAAAAACACATTCCATCGTTTAGATGAAGGTTTTCCTGAAAACAAGTGAGGCGGGTTTAGGGTTTAGGGTTTAGGGAGTGGGACAGCCACCCTGAACCCTAAACCCCAGCCAAGGAGGTGATCACTTACAGTACCATCTCAACCCGAAGCCCTAAACCCAAAAGGTCTGGAACTCAGCTAAAACCCGAACACGGGATGCCTTCAGTGAGACTTTCTCGGTTGCTTACGAAGAAGCTTGCCCTACAAAGCCCTGATAAGACAAAATCCCACACGTAACCCCTCGAAAACCCTAAAGAACTCGTGCAAAACCCCGACGAATGCTTGTTAGAAAGCCCGCAGGAAAATTAAATCCTTAGAAAACCCGACAAAACACACGACAGCCAACATAAGACCCACTAGAAAATAGTTGCAATGGGTGTATCACCACAAAACAACCCGTTAAAGGTCCTTTCAGTCGAACGCCCTCGTGACAGCTGCGGATCTCCGAGTCGGTCAGCGACAAGAAATCCTTCGGCATCTGAAAGCAGAAGGACCAGAACACAGGGTTTAGGGTTTAGGGTTTAGGGCTTCGCAAGCCGTTCAATAAACGGCCTGCAAAGGAATCGGGGGTGTACTGCTTGGAGAGTCGGGGGACTTAGTAAGTAGTTGCTTTATAGAGAGGTATAAGTGTCATAACCCCAAGTACTTATTCCTCCGACCCTCCAAGTACATACCTTGCGTTGTGGGAGAGGGATTATCGAGCTACTGGTTTTGGGGCTTCGGTTTTACCGTAAGTCCTAGAGAACCCTAAGGGCCCATGGGCCGAAATAATAGGAACTTCAGCCTCAAAAAAAGTACCCTGAACCCTAGACCCTAAACACTACTCTGGGGCCAGCGTATAAGCTGTTTGAGTACATGGACACTTAGGGTAGTGTTTTCAGTTTACAAATTACCCTGAAACTAAGGCCACGGGGTTTACTCGCTTCATATATAAATACATCGGAGTCGGAATAATTGACGCTGACAGAAATGCTGAAAAAGAAACAAAGGAGACCTTTAAGGAACTCTATTCTAGTTATTTCGACGCCGCATATGACCCCAGAGCCCTAAATATTAGAATCTATGTTGTCTTGAAACCCCCCAAAAACCTCATCCCAAAACCACATAAACCAAAAAACACCTAAACACAAAGAACCCACAACCCTCAACCCGAAGAGCCCCACACCCTAATATATGAACCCCTGAAGCCTTGTAAACCAGGGACAGCTTACTCCTGGCACCCTAAACCCGGATATACCCCCTAGAACCTAAGCCCTGATATACCCTGAAACCCTACGCCCCGGATATACTCCGAGAGCCTAGAGACTCCCTAGCCCCTTAATTCTTAATTGAGACAGACCCCCCTTCTTTTTGGTTAGTGGTTTTAGGGTTTAGGGTTTAGGGTTTAGGGTTTAGGGTTTAGGGTCCCTAAACCCCTTCTTTTTGGTTAGTGGTTTTAGGGTTTAGGGTTTTGGGTTTGACTACATTCGTATCATCGGACTTAGAACTCGACTTATCAGCTACTTACTAAGTCTCCCGATGCTCCAAGTAACCCTAAAGCCTAACCTACTCGTCCAGTATCCTTTGGAAATAAAGGTTAACCTTTGGGAGTATGTTGGTTTGTATTGGGCTGATTATATAAGGTTAAAGGACTCTACTACTAGGATAATGTGCTCTACAAAAGAAGAAGCCGAAAAGTCGGAAACGCAACAGCCTCAATCAATTCAGAGCAATGGATAGGGAATCCCAGCACTACTTGCCCTTTTTGTTTCCGGTTTCCCACTTTTTCGGGTTTACTATAAACCCTAAACCCCAGACCCTAAACCCCAAACCCTAGAAAGCCCTGGGAGCTGTAGGGTTCCTTAACGCGCTAACCCCAAACCCAGAAAAATAAAAGTTGAAACTTGCAGAATCGGCTACGTTATAAGAACCCCAGAAATTTAAAAGTTGAGTTTACAGCCAACCCTAAACCCTAAACCCTAAAACCTAAACCCTAAACCCTGAACCCTAAACCCTAAGCCCTTACAGCCAATAAGTCCTTCGCGCTGACCAAGACGATCGGATACTGGAGCTCGCTGGCACATGCGAGGCTGTCCTGCACCTGTACGCCCGGGTCAGATCCGACTTTTGGGCTTGGGGTTTAGGGCTTAGGGCTTAGGGTTTATAGGGTTTAGGGTTTAGGGTTCAGGGTTTAAGGTTTAGGTTTAGGTTTAGGGTTTAGGGTTTAGGGTGTTGTTAAGGTTTGGGAAATTTTCCCTAGAATAGGGTCTAGGTTTTAGGGTTCTGAAAGGGATCCATAAGGGTTTCGGGTGTAGGGTTTGGAGCTTTAGTATTTAGGGTTTAGGGTACAGGGTTTAGGGTTTGGAGTCGTGAGGGTTTGTTTGGGGTCAGAGTTGCATCACCATGTGAAGACCGCAAGACCCCAAACACCAAACCCAAAGCCTTAAGCCCTAAAGCCTAAACCCTAAACCCCCAAACAGTAGGGTCCCTCTTTCAACGGCCCCTACAAAAAGCGCCCTGAAGAAACCCTACACAGCAAGATCCCCCTTATCAGGGCCTCTTCTCGAACAAGGCGCTGAATACCAAGTAAACACCAGATGAGTCCGAAAACCCTAAACCCTAAGCCTAAACCCGAAACCATGAACCCTCAGCTTAAACCCTAAACCCTAAAGCCTAAACCCATGTGTCCCGCACTTGCGAGTTTTCCATGGTTCGGTCCGGCTTTGTGCTTACATAGAGGATCCTACTGCTTTTCTAGGCGTCTGAGTAGCCCCTTTATAACAAGGGTACCCTTTTCCTACTCTTCGGTTTGACTAAACGGATCCCAAAAGAAAAAAGGCAAAAGGGTACTACTCAGGAACCCAGTTTTGTACTTTGAATTATGGTCTGTTTTCGGGTTTAGGGTTTCGGGTCTAGGGCTTGAAGTCTCTATTCAGGATTCCAGACATGTGGGTGGTTGTCAAAATTATGGTCCGTTTTTGGGTCCTTATTATAATACGGCACCTAATATTTAGGGTGTCCAAAAAGGGACCCCTAATTTTGACAACCACCCATGTAGTATGTCTGGACGCCTTTGGTAGCGGTACTCATCTTTTCACGGAGAACCTAACGAACAAAGGGAACCTACCGCGTGGCAATTTTGGGACCCTAAACCCTAAACCCTAAACTATAAGCCCTGCCCAACCCTGAGCCTCTGAACCCTAACCTCTACCTAGACCCCACAACTACCCTCTATTTACCCCGAATAGCTTACCTTCTACTAAAGACCATAACGGCTTTATTGAAAGGTGCATGGAGGATCCTTGCGTAACTCCTAAACCCTAAAGCCAGAGGTATACTTGGCCAGCCCGGCACCTTGACGTGCAAAAGTCGCCTTTGCTCCTGTCACAGAAGCATCTCAACTCCTACGATGTTAAATGATGGGGGCCTTATTTTTTGGAGTGGGCTTTTGGGGCATATTATACTAACTCTCTTCTTCAACAACCATGTCCAAGAAAGCTTTGGCCAGTTTGGTGTGGAAGGGTAGGACACACAAGTAGATAGATAGGTAGGTAGGTCGGTGGATGGATAGCTAAGCAGCTAGACAGATATATAAAACAATGAAACGACGTGAACGATGGATACGGTCAGGTTAGGATCGATTGGTTTGGGTGGGTTGGACCGGGTTTCATTTGATTGAGCTGATGGGTAAGGCAAGACCACATGCATGACATTGCTAAAACCTACAAACACGAAGCGCTGCACGGAACGCCTGCGACCTGTAAACCACAATAGCATAAACTGACCCTTTGCGTGATATAGGAGCCTTAATAACTAGAATAGGGTTGGGGCCCATTATACGATAATCATAATAAGGAACCCCTAAAATAACATAGGTCATTATTAAGGTCCCTATATTACTCAAACGGCAGGGAACTGGGCCTAAAGGAAACACCTGGCACCTCCAGCCCTGCATGAACACACGGACCGTAAACCCCCAACCCCAGCCATAAACCCTGAACCCCCGCCCTAAACCCTAAACCCTAACACCCTAACACCCTAAACCCTATTATAAACCCTAAACCCTAAACCCTAAAACCCTAAACCCTAAAACCCTAAAACCCTAAACCCTAAACCCTCCGGGACACCTACTGAACCTCCGGCTCTCCTGTGCGATCTCCCGCAATCGCTTAAAGGTTTGGTAGCCCACCTTAGGGTTTAGGGTTTAGGGTTTAGGGTTCAGGGTTGAGGGTTTAGGGTTTGGGGTTTAGGGTCTTAGTGGTCTTTTGGCTTTGTTTTTTCGTTTTTTTTGAGTTCTTCGGGGTTACCTTAACCCACCAGAACCTACTTTTTGTAGGGTCTTGATAATTGCCATATTAGGGTTTATAATAAGAACCTACAAAAAATGGGTTTTGGTAGGTTAAGGTAGGGGTTCAGGGAGTGGGGATCATTCTCAGGCTTTTGGGTCTGGGGTACACAGTTGTTGCGGGTTTTAGGGTGTTGAGGCGGTTTTGGATACTCCCTAAAGTTCCTCTTTTTTTCGGGCGACCCAATCGCGAATTCACATCCTATGTTCAGTTTAGGGTCCTATTTAATAGTCGAGAGAAACTCGGCTGACATCTAAACCCCGCGGACAAGTTAAACTGTTGGCCTACCTATTATACTTCATATAGCAGCCCAAAAAGTTCAAGTCCTAAGAGCCAACCAGAAGAACGCCCAGGGAAGCTCACCAAAAAGAGGGGACCTACGCTCTTAGCCCCAGCCGAAACCGTAGATCCTTCGCGCAGTCGGTTTTATCTGGTCCGGAGACTCCCAGCCCCTTGATGAAGGAATATGGGTACTGTTTTAGAACAGGGCTTTGGGATATATTATCATTATACTTATAATAAGGAACCCCCACAATAGTATTAGTAGTTATTTAGGCCCCTGCATTAGTTCTCTAAATGAGGGTCCCTTTTTGTGGTCCCCGGCACCCTTACGAAGAAAGGATCCTAATTTGGAAAACGAGCCATACGGTTGATGGACAAAATCCTGCATTACCCACTATAAGGAATATACCATAGTTCCCATAGTTTAGGGTCCTTAAGGTCATGCAGGATTTTGTCCATCAACCGTATGGCTCAAGTCACAGCAAGGATCCCCCTATACCTCGGCGTGTAGGGCCCTAAACCCTAAACCCTAAACCCTAAACCTAGGGTTTAGGGTTTAGGGTTTAGGGTTTAGGGTTTAGGGTTTAGGGTTTAGAGCTTAGGGGCCGACTGAAGCCTTAACTCTGCCGAACATTTTAGGATTTAGGGTTTAGGCTTTAGCCCAAAGCCCTACACCCTAAAAACCCTAAACCCTAAACCCTAAACCCCTAAACCACAAACCCTAAACCCAAAACCCTACACCCCGAAACCCCTTTGGAAAGGAACTGAAACTTCCACAAACCAAGAGGTTCTAAGGCCACAAACTCGGCTTCTGGGTGCTCCCATCAACCCTGTACCTCCTGAGTGAGGTTACATTAGGGTTCAGGGTTTAGGGTTCAGGGTTTAGGGTTTAGGGTTTAGGGTTTGAGGGTTCAGGGTTCAGGGTTTAAGGGTTTAGGGTTTAGGGTTATAGGGTTTAGGGTTCAGGGTTTAGGGTTCAGGGTTTAGGGTTATCGGGTTTAGGGTTATCGGGTTTAGGGTTTAGGGTTTAAGGGTTTAGGGTTTAGGGTTCAGGGTTTAGGGTTCAGGGTTTCGGGTTTAGGAACGACATTAAACTCATCATTGGCCTCTAAGCCCTCAACCGATTCACGTGGGGTGACTTCCTGCGCTACGCAAGTGCTAGAAACTCCGTCAAGACACTGACACCCAATGCGACAGTGATGCGGCCTAGAATGATCTAAACCCAAAAACCCCGAATCCTAAAGCGTGAATTTTATGCTTTCCTGGGTCTCTCTAGTTTCTGGGTCAAGCATAGCTGCGAAGATGACACCGCCCATGAGGATGCCAGAAAAGAAGATGTTCAGAATGATGCCTTGGATGTGCACACCGCTTCTACTCGGGTTTAGGCTTCATCTAAGTTTGAAACCATGGGCCCCTAGTATGGGCCCTTAAGGGTGAGATCCTTATATACCTACTATATACCCTATATGTACCCTGAAGGGTGCCTACAAAAGCCTAAGGGTCCATATTGGGGCCCATGCTTCTGACCTCAGAATTCAGGGTTTAGGGAGGTTTAGGGTTGCGGTTCGCTTTAGGGCTTTATAGGGGCAAGGCAGCAAAATCCATAAACGATGCCCAGGCCTTGTCTTGCCGAAGGCCGTCTTAGTGTAGGTGCCTGAATAAGTAGAACAGGGTTTCGGGGGTTCCCTATTATAGTAATTATCGCATAATATACTCCCAGACCCTGTTCGAATTATTAAGGCCCCTATCTTATGCTGCATGCGCAGGATCATGTTGACCAGTTCCCTTATGCCAGCTTCAGTCGGCAAAGAGCACCAAGGCGCCAACCAGGGATCTGCAAGCTACCGGGCAGTTTCAAACAGGCCCAGTTTAAAGGCATGGGGGGCTCAACTTCGAGGTTCCAAGGAGAGATGATCTAAGTGTACCAAAAGGGCTATAGTTAGATACAGCTATACTTGGCTGATTTCTGAAGCCCTCCTAATAAGTTAAACTCTGAACCCCTCCTAAAAGTTAAACTTTTAGCGCGCTTATCAAAATTCATATAGAAGCCCAGTAAGTAAAAGTCCTAAGAGTTAAGAGCCAGCCAGAAGGAAGAACGCCAAGTATAGTGACCTTGCCTATAACCTACTTTCTGTCTCGTCTGATCCTCCAAGTTAAAGCCCGGAACCCTTCTGAACTCTCACTCTCACAGAACCCTTATCAACAAGCTAAACCTGAAGCCCTAAACTTTAAACCGGCTATTAAAAAAAGACACAAAACCCCCAAACCCGAAAGGCCTGCTAGTTTACAGATCCTTCAAGGGCTCTGCCGGAAGGGTCGGGGGACCAAGGAAGTAGTTACTTTATAGAGTCATAAGTATCATAACCCCAGGTAAGAACCCTGTTTGGATACGTATAACTTACAACTCTACTAGTCACCTACTTACTAAGTCTCCCGACGCTCCCCTAAATCCCAAACCCTAAACCCTAAACCCTAAACCGAAACTCCAAGTGAGCTCCGACCAAAATGCTTGTGACGGCATCCCTGGTTGCCATCCTGGGTCCAGTTGGCACATGGGGTAAAGGAAAGTACAGGTGGGGAGTTTAGGGTAAAATATAGGGATATAGACCTTCTATAAGGCTCCTACCCAGACCCCCAGAAGGATCTAGAAAATAGATCCCCTAATTTTCGGACCCTAACTACTAAAGGGTAGTTTATCGGAGCCCCCTTAGGGGATCTATTTTTGGGATAAGGCTCCTATAACGGTAACTACCCACCTGAAAACGTCCCAGATCCTGGGCCCAGTTGGCACATCGGGGCTGAGAATATTCGGGCTGAGGGCTGTCGGAAGTCGGGGGTTTGGGGTTTAGGGTTTAGAGGTTTCGGGTTTAGAGGTTTAGGGGTTTAGAGCTTTAAGGGGTTTAGAGCTTTAGGGGTTTGGGGATTAGGGGCTTAGGGTTTAAGGTTTCGGGTTTAGAGGTTTCGGGGTTTAGAGGTTTAGGGGTTTAGAGCTTTAGGGGTTTAGGGTTTTGGGCTTAGGGGTTTAGGGGTTTAGGGGTTTAGGGTTTAGGGCTCAGGGAGTTTAGGGTTTAGAATTGGGGGTTTAGGGGTTTAGGGCGGCTTTACTTACTTGCACAAAAAGCCAGGGAAATTACAGGTTAAACTTTCAGATTACTACTAAATTACAAGAACCCAAAAAATATAAAGGTTGGCTATTGGAGAACTAAGTTTAGTGTTCAAGAAGTTCGGGCTCCGCGGATGAAAGCGAAGATGAGGATCGCCTTCACCATTGGCCTAAACAACCTACCTGTCGAAGGAATTACAAAAGGATAGCATAATTAAGGAACCCCTCAAACGGTAGGTTGTTAGGGACGGCAGGTAGGGTATGCCAGAAAACGCTGGCTTTCGGGATGAAAACGGATGAAAGGAAATCTGATGCGACAGATGAGAGCCCGGTCTGCGCAGTCGCCATTCGTTCTGCTGAAAGTATCAGCCCCTCTCCTGACATAATCGAAGAATCCGCAACATAATCTACAACCAACCTATTCTCCTGACTTAAGACAGTCGAAATTCAATCCAGCCCTTTGTGACTGAACCACAGAAACATTCCGGCTGTTTTCTACCATAACCCGAAAAAAGACACACACACACACAGACACACACACACACCCTATTTCCGAGCACCCCAGCCAGACCTCCAGTTCAAGCACCGGTATCTTTCAAGGAGACACAAAGATCTTATCGTTTGGCTTGTTAAGCACCCCGTTCCGTCTGCATGTTAACAGGTTGGGAAGCCTCAGGAGGTAGGTGGTCTATTGACCTGAAAGAAGTTGCAGGGCTTAGGGTTTAGAGTTGGGGGGTAAGCTGAACGAAAACCTAAAATCCCAAACTCCATCTTGCAAAAACCCGGAGCATCGTTTCCCAACTCCGTAAAGGAGTCAAAGCATGGGCTCCTGGAGTAAGGGAAGCACGAACAAATGAAGAGCACTCATATTCAGGTCAACTACACGAGCCCCACGGGGCACAAGATGCAAGCCTAAACCCTAAACCCTAAAGCCTTCACCCCTAAACCCTAAAGCCCAAACCCCTAAACCCTAAAGCCCTAACCCCTAAACCCTAAAGCCTAAAACCCTAAACCCTAAAGCCTAAAACCCTCAACCCAAGCTTGGACTTAAAGGTTAACTTCCCAACCCCAGAGCCGGAAAAGCTCTAAACCATGGAGAGTTCTCAGTTCTAGCAGGGACCCTAAGCCCCTTATATGAGCAATTCTCTAAATTAGTAGGGTCTCTGTGCAAGTCCCCAAAGCAGTACGGTACCCTCAAAGAAAAGGACCATAGAAGGGACCCTACTTTAGAGAACTACTCATCTACACCTCTCTTGGACAAATCTAGACCGAGGCTCTCATCCAAATCTGCCAGTACCACGCTTCGTGGCACCATGTAGACCTGTTTCAGGGTTTCACATTTGATATCCGGGTTTTGCTGCTTGCCAAGCCCCAGCTGGTCCGCAAATCCTAAACCCTAAACCCTAAGCCAGACACCCTAAACCTTAAACCCTAAACCCTAAACCCCTAAACCCCTAAACCCCTAAGCCAGACACCCTAAACCTTAAACCCTATAAACCCTAAACCCGTAAACCCCTAAACCCTACAAGCCAACACGCTCCAACCAGGTCCTGGCTCTAGAATAACCTCCTCCTTCAAGAATGTAAGCAAGGACATATGGAGGAAACCTAAAAAGGTAGGCTAGATTCACAGTTTAGGGTTTAGGATTGTGTAAGGTTTAGGGTTTTAGGGTCTAGGAAGATCCAGAGGAACCCTACAAAGGTAGGCCACAAACCCTGAACCCTAAACCCCAAGCCCTAAACCCGAAACCCCAAACACTAAACCCTGAAACCCTAAACCCGAAACCCTAAACCCCAAGCCCTAAACCCGAAACCCTAAACCCTCAACCCTAAACCCCAAACTCTAAACCGACTCACATCCAGAACCAGAAACCTGACGAACGTCGGGGCAGTCGTACGTCCGTCTGAGATGTTCTTAGCCAATGCCCCACGGGTCCCAAGGACGCAATAATTAGGTACTTTGGTTACGGATAGTAGTAGTTTTTGGGAACCGAATTAGGGACACCCCAAGAGAAACACGACGTAAACCTTTTTAGGATCAGGAGACTTAGCAAGTACGCCTTAGGCGATACGTAGAGTTATAAGTGAGGTAACAGGAAATCGGACATTCATAACTCTGCGAACCAAACCACCTGCTGTCTAAGACCCTTTATTCTCCAAGTACCCGAATTCCTGCTCTCAGAAGCTGAACCCGACGTTCTTGTTCCCAAAAGAACGCCACGAAGACGCAAAGCACACCCAACAGCCTCTTTAGGACCAGTGAACCTGTTAAGCAGCTTGTACTTATTATAAATACTCTCATCTGCATTGGCTTACTGACACATTAAATGCCGCAGTTCCTTTTTTCGGCTGGAAGACCATGGCTGGTAGGTGGAGTCTTGAGTCTTCAGGGTCCAGGGCTATGCGCTTAAAAGGGAGATGATTCTGCTTCGCGGGGGGGGTAGGGGAGATCAGGGGTCACGTTAATGCCACAAAACCTCGAGGCACTATATGGGTAGCTCTCTAAATTCGGGGACTTTGCAAGGAGGGCTATATGTATCCTAATTAGGGTTATAAGTGGAAAAGGCTTTAATTACTTTATACTTTGTATAAGGTAATTACACATTAACTCTAGTAGCCACTGTAAGCCCTAAAACACCCCTAAATCTTCAAGAAGCCAAAGGGGCTCCCTCCAGCACGAGGTTGTAGTAAGAGAACTGGAAGGTCAGCATAAACTCGTAGCGACCGTTCACCTGAAGACAAAGGGATTCCGGGACTCATATTCTAAGGCTTTTAGGCCCAAAGATCATACAATACAGGGCTTTTGGGCTATTTTGATCCTGCGGGCAAGAGTTACCTGAGGGCTTAGTAATTTTTTGGGAGCTAGGGTTTAGGAGAGCAGACTTCCTCGAAGTGAAATTGTAGACTCACTGGCTCCCCGTTGAATCTACGAAGCTGGACGGACGACTTATTTCTTGAGGGGGTCGCTTCATCGAGCCTTTTGAAACACTGCCGTCAAGCCCTACAGCCCCATAACAACCCTCTTTTCTTGGCTGACTTCTGAACCCCTCCTAAAAGTTAAACTTTTAGCCTACCCATTATAGTTCATATAGAAACCCCAAAAGTTAAAGTCCTAAGAGCCAACCAGAAGAACGACAAGTTTTTAGAGGTCCCTAATATGGGATTTATAGGGACCCTACAAAAAAGTAGATTTGGGGTTCTTAAGGTACAGCCCCATAACAACCCTCTTTTTAGGAACCTCTATGAAGGGCCGCTGGCAACCCTATCCACACTCCACAACCCCCTGATTTAAAGGAAGCTACAGGTGGGAAGTTTAGGGTATATAGGGCTTCTATAAGGCTTCTATAAGGTATATAGACCTTCTATAAGGCTCCTATAACGGTAACTACCCACCCAAAAATGTCCTAGACTGATTACCGTAGACGGCCAGTAATTGCAGAGGAGCTTCTTACTGTGATGCAAGGCCTGTAGGCTCCATTCTAGTTCCTTTTTGGGGCTGCCTTACAGAATCCTTATTTAAGGTATACCTATAGGCTCCATTCCAGTTCCTTGTTGGGGCTTCCTTGTAGAATCCCTGATATCGAATTGGTTCAACCCAAAAACGGAACTACAATGGACTATAGGTACGTCTTACTTGTGGGGTCTGGGCCACCGAGTCACCCCTCCTTCTGCGTGTGATGGAATGGCTCCTCTCCACGCCCACACCCCATCAACGACCCCAAAATTGCTCAGGGTTTAAGATTTAGCGCCTATAGGCGCAAACCTTTCAGCGCAGCCTTACACCCCTAAACCCTAAACCCTAAACCGCTGATGCCTAAAGCCCTCTGGTGTTAACCCTTGGGCCGTGAAACCATAGAGCCAAAAACCTGCGCATTAGACCCCTCCTCCCCAAACACAAAAACCCAATGTAAACCTGATCCTTCGATCGCCTCCACTTCGACGAGCTGATGAGTGATGTTGGTCCAATCACCTGGTGGTTTAGGGTTTGGGGCATTGCAGTTTAGGGGTTCAGGGGTTTCAGGGTTCATGGCTGAAGCTCACAGTTAGGCGCTCGGGCCCGTACCGAAGTGCACTACAAGGTTACACTTCGAATGTATAAGAACCCGACGCAAAGCTGTCAGGTTGGAGATTTGGAGCACAACGTAAAACCTACGAAGGCATCATACATGCTTTTTTTTTTATGAACCTTTCAGCCTTTAAACCTAAACCCTATAAACCCTAAACCCCTAAACCCTAAACCCTTCTTTACGAAACCCTCAAAAGAGGCAGAATGTGTCTTCAAAGCTTCTTGGCCCAGCGGTAAATAAAGACTCCGCGTCGAAGTCGCCATGTACTTCTCCCCCCAAACCTTAAATATCGAACCCTAAAGTCCTACTTAGGGGTTCGAGAAACTTTGCAAGTATGTAGGGTTATAAGTACCTTGCTTTGGGTTAAGATGTGGATATACTTGTTGTTACCTCATTTATAACCCTACTTATACAGCCCCCTGAACCTCTAAGTAATCCTCCTCCTCCTCCCTCAACACCCTAAACCCTATACCGAAAACCCTAAACACAGTTCACGCTAAACCCTAAACCCTAAACCCTAAACCCTAAACCCTAAGGCAGGTCGCAGCCGAGGAGCCGTCCGGGGCGACCAGCGCGGCAGAGCCGTTGATCATGGGATGCGGAACCTCCTGCGGCCTCAGGCAGAGATCTAAGCAATACACCTTAAAATACCATCTAAGTCCCCTAAACCCTAAACCCTAAACCCCTAACCCCTAAACCCTAAACCCTAAACCCTAAACCCCATAGTTTAAGGTGTATTCCCTAATTAAGGGATATATTGGGATCTCTGAAGAGGTGGGGTATAGGGCATAGAGTCTAGAGATTTTAGGGGCGTAGGGTTTAGGGTTGTAGGGTTTAGGGTGCCTTGCAGGGATTTGACGAGGTGGGTGTCGATTTTAGGGTTTACCGTTGTAGGGACGTGGGGTTTAGGGATCCTTGCAGGGATCTATAAGGGATCAGCAAGGGTTCTGCAACTTTTACAAGCGCTAAAAGCCATGAAGGATGTGCGAATGCTTCGCAGTACAAGGGTAGGACAACTCTACGATAAGACACCCGCACATCCCTCTTCTAACAATGAGGGAACCTAATACCTGAACCCTAAACAACCTACAAATAAGGGATCTTACTTCGTCTTCCATGTTTAGGCCTTAAGAATGCTTGGCTGACTTGGTTCCGAGGAAAAGCAACTTCCGGAGGAACTCAGAACGTGGGATTCGGGATAGGAGTCGGATTAATTTCGAGGGTCCTTAAACGGGATCTGTAAGGACTCCTTCAAGGATCTAGAGGGGTTTTGGGTTCAGGTTTTAGAGTTTCGGCTGTTCGTGACGCCGGAACCTGCCTCCAAGCCTCCAAGTGTGTTTAGGGTTTATGGTTTAGGGCTTATTGAACACTGCCTGGACCGACAGGGACCAACAACCATGTCGAATATACGTACAACAACCCTCAGGGTTCAGAGTTCAAGTACCCAGATCGGAACCCAAAGCCCTGAGCCCTAAACCCTAAGGTGGGAATGGAAGTCTCAAAGGTTATACTCAGAATGTTAGTTCTAGATGCCTGCAGAAACAGCCCACTAGAGGATCTTTCACCGCAGGTATAGCCACCCCGACCAAAGCCCAAGCCAACAAGCAAAGCATGGACACTCTGAACTCTAAACCTCAATCACCCCCCGCCCCCTCCCTCCAAAACCCTAAACCCTAAACCGTTCAAGCGGCTTCAGCATCACTGTGAGCTGTCCATTCTCGTCCGCAGCAAGGGACTGCACCGTGGTGTCCGAGGATGCCACGAAAATTCCGGTGGCCTCCAAAGACCCAACCAGAAGAACGCCAATCAGGAGTTAGGGTTACCAGGCCTTCAGGTTTAGAGTCTAGAGGGGGCTTGAGGCTTCTATCAATCTTTTTGTAGGCGTACGTTGGCGAAATCCCACGGAACAGAACCCAAACAGCCCAAGACTCTCGACGTCGGCAATGCCTTAAGCCATCCTAACGATGCTTCGATCAAGTATGGGGGATTTCTCGACCCTGCATCCCTAAACCCTAAACCCTAAACCCTAAACCCTAAACCTACCCTCTATGAGTTCCTAAATACCCTGAAGTTGCGACCATGTAAGGTGCAGGGAAGGTCCTGGTTCCTTGCTTGAGGAGTATAAAGTAGGGGCCTTCATAGCTAGAATAGGGTTTTGGGCCCGTTATACTACAACTATAATACGGAGCCGCCCAAAATAAAGTTGATGATATGAATCCTGCATTAGCCATAATAAGAAAATGCCATACTTCCCATAGTTTAGGGTCAGTAGAAAGAACGCGTAGGGATAGAAGAACCTTAATTAGACAATTAGGGTGATAAGTAGATATAACTGTATCGCTTAGCCCTACTCACTAAGTCCCATGATTCTCCAAGTAGGTAGCTCATAGGGATATAGCTTACATAGGGATATAGCTTACTGTACCCAGGGAGAACAACAACTCTTAACGAGGGAATGTGCGCAGATCGAATTAAGGATCCCCGTACGGTTTAAGCTCTACTCTTCATTAAAGGCCCAGTGGGCTTGCTAAGGGGGCGGGGTTGGGGAAGAAAAATCGCAAGTGAACCGAGGTTCCCACTCTAAACCCTTTTAAGGTTTAGGGTTCAGGGTTTAGGGGTTTAAAGCCTATTGTGCTCCCAGGGTGGCGCCTTCTTCAGCATGCCGGGGTTCATCACGATTTTCACCGGGCTCAAAAAAATAAGCATGCGTGTCTGTGGGTTTGTACTGGGTCTTTCGTATGTGCTTCTAGCGTTTTATGGGGCGCAGGGAGCCCAACACCCCCTAATTAAGGAATATACCTTCGGTGATAGGGGTTTGGGTGTCGTGTTTAGGGGTTTCGGGGGCCTTGATATTATGGTCTCGGGTAGATTCTTTAATTAAGGGTCACCGGGCTCTCCGGGTTGTTTTGGGGTCAAGCTCTCCTGGAATCCTCTTACCTTAAGGACCACATAGCGCTATCCAATTATACTATGAACCCCTATACCCTAACCCTCCAGGTACCTACTATATAGGGCCTTAGGGGCTCTAGGACCCTATATAGTAGGTAACTGGGGGGTTAGGGCTTTTTGGTATATGAAGCCCAAACCCTACACCCCGCTAAGCCCTTTTAGGCTTCTTTTCGTAGAGTCCTGAGCTTTCTCCGCTGGCCCGAACCCCTACTGCAGGGGCCTTAATAATTAGAATAAGGTTTTAGGGTGATGCCTGCGAAAGCCTGTCGACGAAGAGCGAAACAAAGGACGACATATGCATCCTCAAAGAATGTGTGAATACACGTGTAAAGAAGACATCTACAACTTGCTGCAAATAGAGTGCAGAAGTCGAAGCATTGCATCGTATCTTTGGGACCAAGAGTCCAAAATCTGTACAGGGAAGTCTTTTGGTTTAGGGCATCTGCGTGTAAGACTGCGTGGCTCAGTAGAATAATTAATCAGCTGATTGCAAGAGGCACATCTTTCAGCCTGTGCCCAAACTGGTTCAAGGACATGAGAATAGGGTTTTGGGGTATCTTACACTAGGGTTTAGGGTTTAGGGTTTAGGGTTTAGGGTTTAGGGGAATCCATAATGTAGGGGCCTTAATGAGTAGGGCTTAGGGTTTTTGGGTATATTATACTATAGTACTGGCAATGATTGAGGACCCTATATTACCCGAAGACCAGACCCCCTAAACCCAAGGATAGTTCAAGCCCCCCAGTCAGCATAAAAGCTTTTCAACATCCAGGACCCAAAACAACCCTAAAACCCTAGAACCCCAGAGCCCTAGAGCCCTCAACCCTGGAGCTCTAGAGCCCTAGAGCCCTAGAGCCTAAACCCTAAACCCTAATAAACCCTAGAGCCCCAGCACACTGAACCCTCGAGCCTGGACCCTAAGCCCGGCAACCTAAGGGCTCCAACACAAAGGCCTAGGCTTTAGGTTTACGGTCTATTTAGGGTTGAGGGTTTAGGGCTTAGGGGTTTAGGGGTTTAGGGGTTTGGGTTTAGGGTTTAGGCTTTAGGCTGTAGGGTTTAGGGTTTAGGATTTAGGGCTTACGGCTCAGGTTTTAGGGTTTAAGGGTTAGGGTTTAGGGTTTAGGGTTTAGGGTTTCTACGCCATGGCTCAGGAGGGTTTAGGGTTTAGGGTTTCTGACTCAAGGCACAATAGTAGCTCAATAGCACTAGCCCTAAACCCTGAATAGGATTGTAGTTGCCAAGCCCGAAGTGCACCCCACACCCGAAGCGTAACCCTCAAACCCTAAACCTAAACCCCTACAGAATCGATACAAAGTCCAAACAGAACTTTCAAGTAACACCCTTTACACCCTGATCCAGGGGTCTTAATTAATAGAACAAGCTTTGGTGTATAGTTATCCTGGTATAGTTCTATAAGAATACGGACCCCGAAGGAATATGGGTAATTCTTCAAGCTCAACACTAATAAACCCTAAGCCGCTTCTAGAACTAGGTTCTCCGGTAGCCCCTTAATGGTAAGGATACCTTTTTTTTTCTACTATTCGCAAGCCCTAAACCCTAAAACAAAAACCTAGACCCTAAACCCTAAACCCTAAAAATGTACCCTGAACCCTAAAGCCCCAAAAATGTACTCTAAACCCTAAACCCCTAAACCCTAAACCCCTAAACCCCTAAACCCTAAACTCCTAAACCCCTCAACCCCTAAACCCCAAACCCCTGAACCCAAAAACTGCCTCTAGAACAACAGACCCAGCCGGAGGCTCCCAGACCCCAAAGGCGATACTGAAGAAGCTCATGGTTGCCGACATCACCTGCGGCGCAATGCGAAACGGTTTAGGGTTTAGGGTTTAGGGTTTAGGATTTAGGGTTTAGGGTTTAGGGTCCCGGGTCTACGGCCGACATCACCTGCGGCGCAACGCGAAAGTATGGGGGGGGAGGTGTAGGGGGTTTTTGGGGCTTTGGGGTTTAGGGGATTTTGGGGTTTTGGGGTTTAGGGTTTAGGGGTGTGGAGGGTTTAAGGTTTAGGGTTTAGGGTTTAGGGGTGTAGAGGGTGCTTAGGGTTTGAGGGGTTTAGGGTTTAGGGGATGTAGGGGTTTAGGGGTTTAGGGGTTTGGGGTTTAGGGGTTTAGGGTTTAAGGGTCTTTGGGGTTTAGGGTTTAGGAGTTTTGGGTGTAGGGGGTGTTGGGGTCTTGGGTTTATGGTTTTGGGTTTAGGGAGTTTAGGGGTTAAGGGTTTCGGTTTTTAAGGGTTAGCAAATCCCTGAAGTAGGGGATTAGGCGAAGGGTGATAAATACATTCGACCAGAAGCCACAAAGTTGGAACATTACTAAAATAGGGACTAAGCAATTAGAAATGGGTCTTAATTTTGGGTATATTGATGTATATGGATGTGTACCCTACTCTAAATATAAAAGGAAAGTGAATAATATTATTTCTACCATAAACCGTGAAAACCCTAAACCCAAACCCTAAACCTCAAAGCCCTAAACCCTTATCCTAAATCGAAAAACCCTAAACCCTAAAAGCCCTACACCCTAATCCTAAATCGAAAACCCTCAAAAGAAATCCCAGTTACAATGCTGGACAGCACTATGAAATGGCATGAAAAGAGCATAAGACCTAAACCCTAAACCCTAAACCCTAAAC